TTTCAACTTTCCCTTTCTTCAGCTTTTACGTCCAGGTCTTCAACCCACAAATATGCCAGTATGTGTCCAACTTATTAGATTAACGTGCTACCTCAGACGAAGTTACCGGTGTGAAGACAGCACGACCAACGTTTTGTAATGGCCAAAATTCAAGGGATCAATATCACCCGTTAGAAATTTCAGGAACTAAAACTAAAATTAGCTCAAAGGATCAAAATTTATATTAACCCAAAAATTTAATACTACCTCATATTCTAATTATAAAAGCCAATTGACTAATTTTAGGATATTAAGGAAGTAAGTTGAGTTAGTTATTTGTCCCAAATAGATGTTGTCTTTCCTAAAATATCCTTACTAATCAAGTATATTGACTAGAACTATTATTATTAGAAGGGTTACTTTGGAAAAAAATATAAATATGAGAGACAAAGTGGATTGGGTCTTATATTTAGGATCAAAATAAAAGTCAAACATAGTCTTATATTAAGGACCAGAGGTAATAATAAATAAGACCAAAAGAATACATTACCTCTATGTTATAAACAGTATCATAATTCAGAAAAATACTCCTCTAATCCTATTTATGAGATAAGAAAAAAAGTTTTTTATGCTATTTATAAATCACTTCATTAAATTTTTCATATGAATAAGTAATTTTACTTTTTATTTATTATTATATAGTATAAACTTTGTTTTTAGGAAAATAATATATACTACCTCCGGTCCTTAATATAAGACCCTGTTTGATTTTTATTTTGGTCCTAAATATAAGACCCTAATCCAATTTGTCTTTTATATTTATATATTTTTTTCAAAGCAGACCTTCTAACAATGATAGTTCTAGTCAATAGATTTGATTAACAATGATAATTTAGGAAAGACAACACCTATTTAGGACAAATAACTAACTCAACTTACTTCTTTAATCTCTTCAAATTAGTCAACTGGTCCTTATAATTAGAACCGGAGGTAGTATTAAATAAAAATAAAATTAAAAAATTGTTAAAGCGTATACCTTTGATATTTCTCATCTGCGTGCTTTCCTGCGGCGAAGTAGCTGCCGGCAGTTTAAGAGGGTCATTGCTGGCAAGTCATCGCCCCTTCTAAAAGCAGACACATACAGGTACGGAGGAGACGATGGCCAAAAAAAAAAAACAGGGTTCGGAAGAGTAGGTAGGGAGGCATTGAGGGAAAATAAGAAAATTAAAAAAACAAAACAAAATACTGTGATATTATTAAAAGGAGGATATAGTGGTCAATTTGCAATATTTTGTTCTTTCAATATAATTATAATTTTTAGATCCTCTACTATAAATTTTCCTATTTTCTTCTTCAAGACTGCTTGTAAAATAACTGTATGGCACGCTATAAATTAAACATAATACTTGGAATGTATTTTTATTCATGACAATCATGCCAATGCAACAAATTATTCTCTTAAAAAGTGTCACCTTCATTTCCATCTCTAGTTTTTATTCTAGCTTTACGCCAAGTTATCACGGCGTAAGATGTAACCCAAAAAGTTAGATGAAAATAATATATTAATATAGAGTTAAGCTGTATCTAGCACTCTAGAATAATTTTTAAGACATATCTAACATTCTAAAATATTACTTCCAATCAGATATAATATTACTCAAAACTAACTCAATAATATTCGATATGACATAGCTATATGTATAAAAATCATGAATGACATTGTATCTAGAGGTGCTATAAAAAATTTTTACTGTCTTTTGTCCTCAATACAATAACTAGATAACTAATTTGAAAATATTAAAAAAATAATTAAGTTGATTAATTATAATAAATATGTGTTGACTACGCTAAACTATCCTTTTTAGTCATGTGCATTGAAACTATTTTTTGGTGAGAACTCTTAAAATCAATAGAAATATTTTGAAAAAAAAATTATAAATTTAAGAGATAAAATGGATTGTGATTTTATATTTATGACCAAATTCAATCTCTAACTAAATAATTTATAATATAAACATCACGCATTGATCTTACCTTGCTCTGTTTTAAAGCAAGTGAACAGAGCTTTCTTTGTTGTTTGAATAATAATAATAATAATTCAATAACTTAATATTCAAAAGTAAACAATTAATATATATATATATATATATATATATAAGCTGTAGTTAAGTGATCCTAAAATAATTTAAGATATTTGCCTTATTCCATTCATGCCTCAAATATTTTTTAACATGATATGGAAACACGTGGAAAATGAGGTAAATAAAGAATTTAAACACTTCTTAGTATAATAAAAAAATGAAAAAATGAAAAAAAAAAGAGGTAAAATTCTGCCGGCTCATCGCCCACCCCAAACCACATGTTCCCAAACAGTGGGCATGCAACAGAGGAGTTGAAAAAGGGGTCAACTTTATATCCCTTGATTCTTTAAACAATGGTCTTTTTTTTTTTTTTCAACCTTTTGGTAACTAAGATTATGAATATCTTCCACTGAAAATAAAAAATGCTCCTATGATACTATTTATAAGCATTTATTAATAAGTTTACATAAACTGAGAAAGTTAACTGAAAATAGTTATTTCTTGAAAAATATTAAAATTGTCCTCAATAAAAGTCATCAATTGGAAGAGTTTGTTTAATTAATGTGAAAATTTTATAATTAATAGGGGATATTATGCGTAAAAAAAACTGATGGTCCAAACAAAACGTGCTATATTATGAACCTTTTCAAGCATGGAAACTTGGAAAGAAAGAAATCTTAAGAGTCAAAAATATAGTCGAACCTGACCTCTTAATCTTGGGAGAACATTCATAAAATTATATGATTGGCATAAGCTATTTTCCTTCGTATTGCATATGCTGTAAATGTTTTTTTTTCTTTTTTGCTTTCCACAGTATAGATTTTGTAATAAATGTCGAGGAACACTTTCTCTCCCCATTCGTGTGCGTGTTCTAGTTTTATGGAATGAATTGACATTTTCACCCAAAAAAAAAGTAAGAAAATTCTTAGAAAAATTGCAAAAAAAGACCTTGAAATTGCAAAAACACAGATAGGGATCTTTGATAACTTCACTTTGGGTTTTGACAATAATAATATGTCATGAAGTTGTCAAAACCCAAAGTAAAGTTATCAAGGATCCCTATCTACGTTTTTGCAATTCTAAGGTCTTTTTTTGCAATTTCTCCAAAATTCTTTTCACCAAAAATAATGGTTTTTATGGATGCAATATAAAGAATTAAAGATGTCATCATCACATGACGTTGAGGTCACCATAATGCCCTTTTTGTGTTCGGTGAATTTGCCTCGCTCACTTGTACGATGCCATTCTCAATATCCCATTAAGAACAGGGGAAAGACATAGGTTTAGCACTTTTTAAGATGACAAGAACATGAGAACGGATTTATTGAGTGCTCGGTTCATTTGTAGACAGAAGTTGTGAGTGATTCTTGACTTTGACTGCCACTTCTAATTTGATCATATAAACAATCTCGTGCAGCCCAGTAACATTGAGAGCTTGATCGGTCCGAGCAAAAGGAGGTGAAGTCATTACATTGGAAGACGATTTCTGACTTTGTTATATGAAAGTGAACATGTCATATGAAACCTACTCAAATTTAATCAGAAAAATATGAAGGGAACCTTAAATTGGTAGGTTTATTGAGATAGAGAGAAAACAACTATGTATTAGAGATTGGCTGCCACTAACACACACCGTATTGTACATATAATCTTATTTGGGGAAATAGTAAAAGAATGTCATTAGAAAAAAATGTTTCCTGCAAACTTCTAATTAAAATAAATCATCTCATCACAAAATAACTTCAAAAAAGAGAGTGTGTGTATTGATTAGTTAATTCAAATGGTAAATGCAAAACAGAGACGACAGAGTGTGCGCGCATTAATAACTTCTTTTATATTGTTTTTATTGAAGGAAATTTCTTTTAGTATTTTTTGGTTGATCCAACTGATATTCCAGCAGATGTAAAGAGAATCACAGCATGATCAAATCAGTGATCATATACCAATTGATCTTTAATTAGATTATAACTTTGTCATTTTCGGCATCTCAGAAATAACATTCTTGTCAAAACAGAGTCATAGCTTTATGGTTGTGGAGTCTTGTGGTGTTTCATGATCACAAACCATAAAATCATTGAAACATCTGATACTAAACATAAAAGAAATATCAATATCCTATTTAATGGACTTGAGAGATAACAGGACTTGGAAACCTCCTAATATGTAGTCTTTCTAGAGCAGGGAAATCAATGCAAGTTCTTTTTTTGTGTTTTTTTCCTCACCAAAAAATCAATACAAGTTCTCATACTTTGGTTCTCATCACATAAATGGTCTTTATGATAGCTTCAGCTTTGGACAGCCGGTATTGAGTCGTGTGAGATCAAAGCAGAGGAGCTTCAAAGCAGGGAGATCAAAGTGCAGCTCATCATGTTGATTATGTTTTCCTGTATGTTTTGCTGAAACATCCTCATGATGGCATTTTCCCACAATATAGGTTAGTTCAGGAGCATCTTTAACTGCCCCACAATATAAGTTTTTAATTTCTCTAGACATTGTGGATGGAAATTTCTTTGCACTCCCTGATTTCTAGTTTCGGCAACTTTGAGAAAATGCAGTAGTAGTATCAACATTTCAATTGTAAGCCCTTTTTCTTCTTGAAATAATTAACAAAGTATAATTCATAAGATAGACACTTGAACGAAAACAGTGAGGCAAGTAGTATAACATACTAGTGGGTTTCTGTGATCAAGCGATCTATGTTCACAAACAACAATATTATTCTCATAAAATAAACACCAGCATCAAATTGTTTTTTGTCTACTCCACATCAAGAGTCCACTCTTAAATAGGTGATTATGCTTGAATTGGGAGAAATCTCACTGGAGAAAAACCCAGACTTGAACTGCACCTAATTCTTATGCGTTTCATGGTCTATATCATTAATAGCAGTAATCAGTCTTTCATGAAAATAAAACAGAACATGAAGCACACAAATAGTTGCTAAAATCCAAAAGGCCTATGTTTAGCAGCAATTATCTCCCAACATTGTTGCCTTCGTTCTATGATATCTTGACGTTCTTTTAAAAGATGAGCATGACGAGCCATAACATTGGCATGCTCTTGTTGAGCCACCTGTGCCACTCTTGCAGCCTCAATTTCCTCATCACGAATAGCTTCAAGCATTGCCTCATTGCTCCGCAGATCATTGTCTAAACCCTCTAGAACATTTTGGATGCTATCAACTTTACATATCTCACCATAAAAAACCTTATTCTTTATAGACTCAATCCAATCCTTGTCAAAACCCAAAAGATAAGCATCCTTCAAATGCTCAGCTAGCATCCTCTTGTCTGCCTCGGTGATAGTGAAAGGAGTCCTGGTGGTTAGAATGTTCAAGATATCAAGCAATACCCTGTAGGACATGTGTAACACTCGAGCGCTTCGATCTTTTGTAGAGAGCCGAAGTTGTGGGCGAGTCTCAAGTGCCTTTGCAAATATTAAATGCTCAAAACCCTCCAACTTCATCATATCGACTATTTCTTGTACTCCAGAAATAGTTGAAGCTTGATTATTGGCTTCCAGAAGAGAAGGCATCATCTCTATAGGTATAGAAAATGGTGACAATGACAACTTTGTATCCTCAACAACATTTGACTTTGTCCCATCATGAACGAAAGTCTCCGGCTTCTCCTTCAATAAAGATCTCTTTACTTTTACCTCGCTTTGATGATGCAGTAAAGTTATCAAGCCACCTATGAAGCCAAAAATAAGCAATCGATGATATATTTATATACGAGACAAGACGCTACTCCTTTTGGCTTTGGAGTTAATTGAGAAAATTGTTTTGATTTTAAATATAAGACTTCAATCTTCTATATGTTTCAAACATTTGTTATTTTTCTCACACACTACCTTGACTACTTACGTTGCAATCAACAAGAGTAATTTTTTTTATATAAATGATTAATTTCTTTACAAATAATTAATTTAACTATTTTTCTTAGTATATATATGAATTAGTTATTAAACTCCTACGTTTAAGACTACAAAGGGTAGTATTTTACCTTCTCTTCCCTCTTCCTCTTTCTCATGAGATTGTACATCATCTATTGTCGTTTCTTGTCGTGATTGTGGTTCCATCATGATTGTTTCTTTCTTCTCTTTGGCACCCAGCTCAACCTGTGTGAAGGATAAATAAAAGCCGAAAGTTTGAACCACATATAGCATGGATAAAAAATAATAATTTGCAGGTAAAGGATAATAATCTCACTTTTAAAGATGCCTTTTGTGAATCAGTTGTATTCAGAACACTTGGATTCTCTTCTTTGTCATTCTGCGAAAAAAAAAGAATTAGTTTGCATTTTGTAGTAGCTTTATTTACTTCCATTCTTAGGAAGAAATGCTGTTTTAAACTAGTTTTTTATGGTTATTTTGACCAACAGCTCAAATAAATATAATGGGAAAAGATGGAGAAATCCCAACTAAAGAATTTAATTACTAATAGGTCCTATTTACTTATCAATATGTTATGGTATTTACATGTCATCTGGTAATATGTTGTCATAGACCTATTAATGATTAAAAAGAAATATTTCTCCTTTACCTATTGTTTAGTGTTCTACCTGAAAAAGGATATGTTTAACTTTATAGTAATCTTCTTGATCAACAACCCAGATAGATATAAAACAAACAAATAAATAAAGAGATAAGGCAAGACAGTGGTTTTATTATGACATTTATGGTAAAAGAAATAATGTTTTGCTTCAAGATAACTTTGAAACAAAGAAAGAAAATGAATGTGCTCGTACCAGAAGTGAATGGCAGCATACGATTAAGTAAAGCTTGTGGATATAATCATGTTAGTGATAAATGAAAGTAATAAGATGCCATTAACAAAAATAATATATGTGTATATATAAGCCACTGAAATGAGATATACTATTGTGAAATTTAAAGAACCAATTGTGGATTGTTGTGGTTCCATGGCTTGTCTTCCATTTAAATGGGGAGAAAGATTCTGCTCTGCCTCTTCCCTAACTTCAGAATCTTGATTTTGAGAGTGATCAGAAAGTTGAGTAGTTGTAGTTTCTGTAGACACATAATAATTTTCAATTTGGATTAATGACTAACTTCTCTGAATGCATAGCATAAAAAAGAAAATTCGGAACGATTATGTACTATGGAAGATTTTTCTAGTTTTTTATATTAAAATTCACATGATGTACTTTTCCTGTGTGAGTGTAAATATATTTAAATAATACTCTTATTTTTTTAATGTGCTAGGTTACCTGGGTCAACTCTTAAATTATCACTTCCACTTGAGACAATGGCATGGCCGAGGGATTTGTCAGAAACTTGAGCATCATCTACAACATTAGGAGTTTACTGGTTAGTGGTTTCAACATCATTTTGAATATTTCTTCCTAAATTAATGGAATAATGTTGGAATGAAAACAATCCAAAATACAATTGGAAAAGTAAACAAGGATGTATAATGAGTAGAATCACCAGGGCAGAGACTAAAGTCTTCCTTAAGCTCAGTGACACTCCTTGTGGCAAGATTTGCTTATGCTACATATGAATAAAACTTGAATGAAATGTCACTATAAGATCACATCAGAGAAACTCACCATTGGAAGGTTCGGAGAGAACGGATGAAAGAGTTTGATCGAGGCTTGTTGAAGCTTTTGTTGACATAGGACTCAATGGCAAGATTGCCTCAGAAGCTTGCTCGCTTGAAATAATTGTTACAGGTGGCATAGCTAGGTCTTAGGCTTAAGTACCATCATTAGAGGTTTTAGGCTTCTCCTTTGGTAAAGAACTGCTAGACTTCATGCCACTTCGAGTACGTCGAGATGTTATCAAGCTCTCTGTAAAACCCAAAATAAATAACTAGTATTTTCTACAAAACTAACAAATTAATATTTTACCTTCTTCTTCTTCTTCTTTCTCTTCAAAACTTTTGGCACTTGCATAAGTGTTGTCTCTTGTAGGAAGAACATCGAGGTTGGGACTTGTATGAGTTGGTGCCTCCTATTAGAAACCAACGGCCATATAAAAAAAAAAAAAAGATGATAAATTAGTGTAGTTGTTTTCTTTGTATTCTAACCAAACCCAATATATAAAAGAAGCTTTACAGAGATTGGCTAAGAAATATGTCTTAAAATTTTTTTTGAGTCCAATGACAAAATTGCCATTTTTTTTCGCAATTTTAATGTTATACCCGCTTCAATAGTTTTCTCTGTTGGGTCATAAACAGTACAAGATTTTGAAAAAAAAAGGGGTTAAGATGCACCCAACACCCCCAAGTATTTTTTCAGGTGCACCGAGTAGCCTAAAGTAATTTATGGTGCAATTTTGCCCTCAAAGTAATTAAAATGGTGCACCGGTATCCCATGCTAACAGATCTGTTAGTTTGACCGTTAAATTGATGAGTCAGCACAAGTTTGACTAGAAAATCTGACGTGGCATGTCCAATAAGCAAGTGATGTGGAATTTTTTTGGGGTTAAGGTGCATTTAACACCCTCAAGTATTTTTTCAGGTGCACCCAGTGGCTTAAAGTAATTTATGGTGCAATTTTGCTCTCAAAGTAATTAAAATGGTGCACCGGTATCCTATGTTAACATATCTCTTACTTTGACTGTGAAATTGATGAGTCAGCACAAGTTTGACCAAAATAATCTGACCTGGCATGTCTAATAAGCAGGTGATGTGGAATTTTTTTCGTTTGCCACTGCTTTGTTTTCTCTGTTCAGTAAATGCTCTCTTCGGCTCTTGGAATTTTTTTCAGAGTAAGAAATTTTTTCAGAGATACTCCTCTAGTCCTATTTATAGGGTAGAGAGAAAAGATATTTTTTGGTCGTATTTATAAGGCACTGAGAGAAATTTTTTGTATGGATGTATAAATTTACCCCTCATTTATTGTTGTATTGACTTTGTTTATATGAGGTATAATGTATATTAAATAGGGATAAAGTTGGAAAGTTATTAAAATTTAAATGAGAGTTAATGAAATTTAGGGTTTTCCGTGGTCTGTGTGAAACATGCTGGAAGTGCCTTATAAATAAGACCAGAAGAGTAATATTCAGACAAAACAATGGAATTAACAAGAAAAGCCATGTCACCTGCTTATTAGACATGCTAAGTCAGATTATTTTAGTCAAACTTGTGCTGACTCATCAAATTCACAGTCAAAGTAACAGATCTGTTAGCATGGGATAACGGTGCACCATTTTAATTACTTTGAGGGTAAAATTGCACCATAAATTACTTTAGACCATTGGGTGCACCTGGAAAAATACTTTAGGGTGCTGGATGCACCTTAACCCCAAAAAAATTCCACATCACCTGCTTATTAGATATGCCACGTCAGATTTTCTGGTCAAACTTGTGCTGACTCATCAATTTAACGGTCAAACTAACAGATCTGTTAGCATGGGATACCGGTGCACCATTTTAATTACTTTGAGGGCAAAATTGCACCATAAATTACTTTAGGCCACTGGGTGCACCTGACAAAATACTTGGGGGTGCTGGGTGCACCTTAACCTAAAAAAAAAAAGGAAGTATAAAATGTTGGATTCCCTTCTAGTTCATTATTTAGCATACCCGGTACTTCAAACAAAACTTCACTTAGTTCATGTCAAAAGCATCAAAAATTCACGCGCGCATTTTAAATATCCCCTTCAAATTATATGTTTTTCTTCTAGCAAATAGATTTTTTTTATACAAAAGAAAACACAATTGGGTTCATGTGACAATTTTAAAGCACAAAAGGAACATTATCGTATAATAGAGACATAGATAAAGAATAAAAATCTATAACTAAAGGACAATTAATCCCAGTTTCGGTGATACCTTTCTTAAATCGGTTCTAATTATTGTCCATGGAAAAGAATTAATTTATTAGCTAATATCCAGCAGTAATTGTAACATTTGAATTTTGAATACTGATTAAACAAGCTAAGTTGACCTAAAAGTTAAAAAATATAGTGAATTTAAGAGCAAAACTGTAAATCAGAGAAAATATAGATCAAAATTATAATTATGAAAAAATGTCCAAAAATTAGAGAGAAGCTTCCAAAAGTAGAGAAAAGATTTTCAAAGCATATTTGAGGTTTGGGGACATTATTTAAAAGCTAAAGTATATATTTGGTCTTTTAATTTCATACAATGTTTCAATTTGATCCCTTAACTTTAAAAATTATATTTTTTCTTTTAACCAAAAATCATTAGGCTTGTATGATAATTTTTTGTAACAATCATGGTTATTTTTAAAATTAATATGTTAAGTTGTTAACATTTGAGAATTCTTTTATCTACATTTAAGATCTCCATGCCATTATTTTTTGCTAACAATTTTAGGATTAAAGAATTAAAAGTATACTTTTTAAAGTTAAGGGGGTAAATTAAAATTATGTATAAATTTAAAGGATTAAATGAATACTTTGTCTCTATTTAAAATTTAAATGTCTCAAAAATGAATTATATATCAGTCAAAAAGCCTATTTTGTGTCAGAATTTAAGGAAATAAAAAGAAAAATAATTACTAAAATTATTCAAGGACTAGGACTATTGCGACAACTATTATGAAATATTATTTTTCGAATTTAGAAATATTATGAGGAGGATTTTTTTTCCAAAAATGACTTAATAATTTTAAAAATAATTTATGGATAATAAGGGTCTATTTTTCCAAAAAATTGAATTACAAATAGTTCGAGACTAATGTTCAGCATAAAAATTTGAGGAACAAAATTACTTTTGTAGCCAGAGAAACTCAAAAATAAACTTTTTTAGAAAAAAATTTAATGTGCCCCAGATTAATTTTTAAACTTTATTAGAAAAATTTAGTACTGATAGTGATGGGCACAGCGGCAATTGCATTATATCAAGCCTAAAAAGGGAATTGGGCCAATACATAACCCAATTTAAAAGGTACTGCACATGGTGCACAAGTCCAAAACGAAGAGCATCAGATTTGTTGGGTTGGGATTCATGAAATTCTAAAATGAGAAGCTCATGAGGTAAGCTTGCAATATGGATGAGCGGTTTAAATCATACTTAGAAGATGGATTAAAGGTTGTGAGTTGATTTTATTCCATGCATGTTGATTTTGTGTGAGAAGAAGTGGATTTTTGTATCTAGAGTTTCTGTTTCACGAGAGTATTATTTGAATTCTCCTATGGGATCTGAAATCTGGAATTGAAAAGCTGAATTTTTGCCACTGTTATAATGTTTAATTATGTACTAAATTTATATTTAAGTAGTTGGAATAGGGAGAATCAAAGAGAAGTCTCAAAATGTATAAAAGAGATTTCCAAAGCATATTTGAGTCTTACAAATATTATGTAAAATTTAAATGTCTCAAATATGAACTATTGGTCAAAAAGCCTATTTCGGTTGAGAATTTAAAAAAATTAAAGAAATTAGGTGGGAACTAAAATATAGTATACACCTAAAGGCTTCAAGGTAGAATTGAAACCAAGTTTTATTCTCCTCCCTTTTTCGGTCAAATTAATTGGAAAAGAGAATTAGGTTTGGTTGAATCTGAAGTCTAAACACCTCAGCGTATTTAAAAAAGGAGATTATGAATCTGGAAAATTTTAAAATGTAAACTTTAATTCTCATCCCCTCTTTGGACAGCACCGTTCAGATGTTTATTGAATTAAAAATTTTGTGGCTCAGAGAGATTTAAATGCTACTGTTTTGATATATGATGACATGGAGCAAGTGTTTTAAATTCCCAAACTGCACCAAAGGCATGTCTAAAAGCTCGTGTTTGGTGGGCCTTTCAAAGTCATTGGCAACAAAAGGGATTAGATTTTAAAGCTTTTCTCTTAAGGCCCTGTTTTGGATAACTTAGTTTTAGTGAGAGGAAGTTAATTTTCTGTTAAATTAGAATATGATGATAAGCTTAGCAGAGACCTTGTGGAGGAGCTAATCTGTAGCATAATTAATTTTAATTTAGTAAGGCCTTGTTCTGCCAGCGTGCTTGAGGGAGATCCGAAGATGAACATTAATTCCAATGATTTCAAATATAATATGGTATGGGGGAAAAGTTAAGAATTAGTTAGAGCGAAAGGCTTTTCAAGAGCTAAAATTAGAGCTTTGAACTACTATTTTTGGAGGTATATTGAATTGGGTATGAATTTTTAAAATATTTCAGAAAATCTCATCCAATAATATAGGTGATAGAACCTAAAGTTTTTAGGGAAAAAGTTTCTAATTTTTGTTTCTTTGGATTTTTTTTTTGGGTGAAGTTTTTTGGGGATTCTAAGGGGTCATATCTTTAATTTAATTAATGACCCTACAATAAGTTCTGACAGTAACTTTCTTTGTTTCCTTTACTAAAAGAAATATTATTATTTATTAATTTTTTATTTCAAATTTCCAATCCACTCTTTAATTAAGGTTAAAATAAATCTTAAAGGTTATCACCTTATAAAATAAGAATCAATTGATGTAACCAAAAAAAAATCTAATGATAATGATGATGTCTCTGGTATTTTTAAAATAACAAGCTTATGACAGTGGAATGTGTTTGTTTTCTTCAATGCCCTGTCCAAAACTACATGGTCTTTATATATATATATAGTTTATGTCAAATTTATTAAGCAATTGGAAGAAACACGTTCTCCTTTGTGTGCTCCCTTGAGGCTATATTGTTGGCATTTTAAATATAATCTTCAAACTCTGTTTTTCTCATAAAAGGGACAGAATTTCCAGAACATTGCTACAAATTGAAAACAATCAAGCATGCATATAATCATTGATGCGGGACCATTGAAGAAGCAGTAAAATGATGCCATTAGCAATCAGAATCATACCTTTGTGAGGGGTTGTTGTGTTGCTTCTCCCGTATTTAAAGATTGTTCGGTACTCAAATGAGGTGAAAGCTTCTCCTCTGCTTTTTCTTCAACTTGAGAATATGTTGTTTCAGAGCTTGTTTGAAAATGGGTAGTTGAAGTTTCTGAGATTAAGAGATTTTCATTGTTATAATAAAACTCATAATCATTTTCAATTCTAAAGAACAAATTACTTTTCTAAATACATACCACAAAAAGAAAACTTGGGACAATCACCCACTTTCGCGTTATCATTTTCTTTCAAAGCTTGAAAATCAATCCCATGGCAGATACTAACAAGTTTGGGAAGAAAATGTAGTTTCAATTGACTTAGTTGTGGAAGCACATCCTTCGTGGGCATCTCTTTCATCTCCCCTTGTCTTACCAGTACATGCTCAAGTCTATTGGCTCCTATTATCCCCAAAAATCTTAGTTTTGGAAGGATACCAGTAATAGTGATAGAAAACAGGTACTTCAATTTGTCACAACAACTGACATGAACCTCTTCTAAGTTGGGAAAGCATGGTTCATGGCGCAAATGATCATCATCATTTGTTCCATTATCTTCTTCAACAATGTTAACTAATTGTCCACAAAATGATATAGCTAGTTCTTTCAACATTGGTAGGCTTCGCACCACAGATGTGGAGAAGATAACTTTGAGCTTGTTGCATCCCTCAATGCGTAGCGCTTGAAGACAAGGGAAGCATATGATATGTTTAGGCCCCACACATATATTCACCAACTCACTTAGCCATACCAACTCCAACTTTTGTAAGCTTGACGTCAATGGCTCAAGTCCGTCCCCATTTTTCTCTTTGCCCACACATGTCAAATCAACAATTTCTTTTATTGTAGATAATCGAATTTCAAGAGTTTTCAAAGTTGGCCTCCACATCTCAATTGCCTACGAATTCCACGGACGAGATATATCAATTTCAAATTTAATTTCAAAAAAAAAAAGAACTCTAAAATGGGTAGCCCAATTTGAACAAAATCATAGTAGAATTTAAGGCGAGTGAGACCATTAAATAAAAATTAAGAGGCAACAAATACGTTTGAATTTTAAATATAAGTGTCTTTTCGAACATGTGTGTACGAAAATAACAAAAAAAAAATCCCTTATAGTTTATGAAAATAGAGATTTAGGGAGGTAATATTATTATTTTCTGCTTCTTTAAGAGAACAAATGAATGTAGTGAGAAATAGTATTAAAACATAACTTATCATTTGGGGGAATATATCAGGATTAGTAAGAGAAGTTGAACAGAGTTATACCTTTGTTTCCTGTTGTTTTGTATGCCAACGAATCAAAAATTCATTGAAAGGTCTCGTAAACTCTGAAAACCCTCTCAAAAAAATGGACCTTGGATAACTGCTTCCAAATGCGTCTAATTCCTACAAGCCAATAAATCGTTAAAATATCATCATGCAATAATACATAAGAGGTTTCAGTTAAAAGTAATATACATAATAAAATATACGAGCTAGATTAATTTGAAATAAAATTTAGCTTAATTTTCCATTTTAAAAAACTGTGCTAGTTATCTTATTCATACTATAATCAAATTAAATCTTAAGTTTAAATAACTATAATTACATGTCTTCATCTTATAAGCACATTAGAAGTAGTGGAGTATTTTGATATTTGCAGACCTTATTCCAAAAATTGAAGTTATTAGACCTCTAATTGTAATACTAATGTTTTCAGTTTTTTTTTACCGGATTAATGTTTTCAGTTTTTGTAATATATAAATTTTGGAATAATTTTTTCTGTGATATTAGTAAATAAACAATTAATACAAAAGGTTTAGCACATCAGAAGATCCATAAATAATTGTATTTCTTGTATCAAAATTAATGTTTGTAAAAATGGCATTTAAGGATCTTCTGCAAATCTTAATTATGTTAAGGACAGTGAATTTCGAAAATACCAAGGACAGGCCAAAGTTCTTGGTTGAAATCAAAAGTTTCGCTGAATTGATTTTTTCATTACTCTACTTTGATTTTTTTTAATACTTTTATTTTCAATGTTTTCATTACTTTTATCTATTAATGCTCACTTTTAATGTTTACTCTACTTCCAAAAAAATCAAATGAGTGCTGAAAACATCAAAGCTGACTAGCAAAGCAGATCAAAGTAAAGTATTTAAAAACTTAAAATATGAATATTGAAACTATTAAAATAAGAATTGAAGCGATTAATTTTGAGTCCTTAACAAATTGAAGAAAATCGCAAAGAATCAAAATAGAAGAAATTTAAATTCCAACCAAAAATTTAATTCAAAATTTTTAAAATTCATGATCATTAACAAAAATTTTTTTTTATAAAGTGTCTTCAAATGTCATTTTCTTTTTCTTTATATTTCACTTTTGAGTAAGCATATCCACAAAGAACAAACAACATCACGATAAAAAGAGAGCATTACCTTTGTGGTATTCAAATCCAGTTGTGCTTTATCTGAACAAACATTTTGTAGAGATGGTGACACCATTTCATAATTCATGGGACCAATGCTAGTGAACTTAGGTGCTCTCTCTAAACAGAGGACCTCCAAAGCACGGAGATCGAAGTGCCACTCGTCATTCTGATTTTGATTAGATAAACGATGCTGATGCTGGTATTTCTCAATGAGATATGTTAGCTGAGGAGCATCACCAATAGTCAAGAACTTTAAATTCTTAATTTCTACAGATATTGCAGACAGAAATAAAAATTCCAAGTCCTTGCACTCTGAGATATGAAGTTTCTGTAACTTTGGGAAAATAGAACTGCAATTAATTTGATCTTTATAATCATCATCCTCGCTTGTTACCAATTGTTTCAGCCCATCATAACCGATGATTGTCAATTCTTCCCATGATATCACTGATGCCATGGATAAAGTGAACAAAGTTGATACTGAATTTGAAGAGAGAGATTCAAGTTTCATCTTCCTGATATGACCAACAACATGGAGTGCTAGTTGCCTCCTAAGCGGAGGAGCAGTATCAATCCATTTCTTTGATGCAAATAATCCCTTCAAAAATACATTGTTGTTTACGCAATTGTTGTGCTCTCAGATATCTAAACTAGAAAATAACTTCGAGGTAATGAAGATTCTAAAAACAAACTATAAGTAAAATTTTTATATGCAGTAATGTATAGCAAATTAAATGACATCAAAGCATAACAATAAATCAAAACAATGATACCTATATGCGTCTTCATAAGGTATCACTATACATCAATATAACCAAAAAGTAGAGTACTTTGATACCTTATCTTATTTATTCCCAAAAATAAATTTATTAGATCTCTCACTGTCATATGTTCATCGTCTTTCTTGAATCTCACGTTTGAATTATTGTGCTCTATTCTAATATTCTACTACCTCCGGTCCTAATTATAAGAGCTAGTTGACTAATTTGAAAAGATTAAGAAAATAAATTAAGTTAGTTATTTGTAATAAATAGATGTTGTCTTTCCTAAAATATCCTTACTAATCAAGTGTATTGGCTAGAATTACTATTGTTAGAAGGATTATCTTGAAAAAAAATGCATAAACATGAGAGACAAAGTGAATTGAGGTCTCATATTTAGGACTAAAATAAAAGTCAAATAAGGTATTATATTAAGGACCAAAGATAGTAATATATAATGGGTCGAAAATCAACTAATCTAAAAGCTTAGTATTAGAATATTCATAGATGCTTGTGTCAAATTAATATATGTTTCACTTCACAATGACAATATGATCAACGTATTTATAAATTAATATAATTTGTTGTGTAATATGTTCATTCTTAAATGTTTGTCTTTGTCACCCCCTTGAGTTATAATGCCACCTTTAGTTAATATTAATAAACAAACAATTAATGTAAAAGGAGTAGCATATCAGAAAATCCATAAATAATTGTATTTTTTGTATCAAAATAATTAATGTTTGCAAAAATGACATTTAAGGATCTTCTGTAAACATTTTTTTAACCAAAGAATCTCCTATAAACATTAATTATATGAAGGACTGTGAAGTTTAAAAATATCAAAATGGACCAAAGTCCTTGGTTGAAATCACAAGTTTTATTGAGTTGATTTCACACTAGTCAACTTTAATTTTTTTAATACTGCTATCTTCAATACTTTTATCTATTTACTACTCTTTTTGATGCTTTCAATAAAAAAGAAACTAAATGAGTATTGAAAACATCAAAGTTGAGTAATGGGTTAAAAAAAAAGAAATTAGGTATTAAAAAATTGAAAATATGAATATCGAAAATAATGGAAACAATGATTGAAGTGGTTAAATTTATGTAATTAAAAAATGAAGAATATAGCAAATAATCAATATAAAAAATTTAATTCTAACCAGTGATCTTAATTATTTTTTGAAATTTTTAAAATTCAGTCATTAACAAAAAAATTTTATAAAGTGTTTTCAAATCTCATTTTCTTTTTCTTTATATTTCACTTTATCCGTGATATATTTCTTTTTGACGCCTAAGATATACGCACACCCACACATATACATATAGCTAAATTTTTAAATGATACTTGTAAACATGCTTGAAATTTAGAAAGCTCGCACATCATGTAGTCAATCTTCAACTGACTTCTTCTTTTTTTTTTTTTTAACACTCTCTTCATCCAACTATAATTTCAAGAAATTTAGCAAATTAAGTATCAAACACGTACGTAAAAATTTTTTATAAAGTGCTTTCACACCTCATTTTTTTACATTTCAATTTTGAGTAAGTGTATCAATAGAGAACAAAAAATATCAAGACAAAACGAGAGCATTACCTTTGTGGCATTCGAATTCAGTTGTGCTTTGTCTGAACAAACGTGTTGTAGTGATAGTGACACCATTTTATAATTCATTGGACCAATGCTGGTGAACTTAGGTGCTCTCTCTAAACAGAGGACCTCCAAAGCAGGGAGATCGAAGTGCCACTCGTCATTCTGATTTTGATTAGATAAACGATGCTGATGCTGGTATTTCTCAATGAGATATGTTAGCTGAGGAGCACCACCAATAGTCAAGAACTTTAAATTCTTAATTTCCACAGATATTGCAGACAGAAATAAAAATTCCAAGTCCTTGCACTCTGAGATATGAAGTATCCGTAGCTTTGGGAAAATAGAACTGCAATTAATTTGATCTTTATAATCATCATCCTCGCTTGTTACCAATTGCTTCAGCCCATCATAACCGATGATTGTCAATTCTTCCCATGATATCACTGATGCCATGGATAAAGTGAACAAAGTTGATACTGAATTTGAAGAGAGAGATACAAGATTCATCTTCCTGATATGACCAACAACATGGAGTGCTAGTTGTCTCCCAAGGGTAGGAGCAGTATCAATCCATTTCTTTGATGCAAGTAATCCCTTCAAAAATATAGTGTTGTTTACGCAATTGTAATGCTCATAGATATCTAAACTAGGAAAGTAACTTAGAGGTAATGAAGATTTTTGTTGTAGTAGATGATGTGCAATTTGGTTGAAATCTAGGAAACTATCATTGTCCGATTATAATTTCAAGAAATTCAACAAAAGGCATGTTGTTATTTCTTGCATTGTCCGTAAACTTTTTATGTGTTGAGCATTGTTAACAATATTTCTTGCAATAAAAGGCATGTGTGCATGCCCATGAATATGTTTATGCATGTGTATTTTTACCGAGGAACAATCGTTATAACAAGATGTATTTACAAAATCTTGTTACAGATTCAGTCAATCATGCAAAAACAAGTACTTACAAATTAATTTTAAATAATGTATCATACCAAGGATCACGGTAAACATTTTTAACACCCATACCTTATTTTATTTAATTGCAAATTAACAATGTATAATTCAGAAGAGAGAGACTTGAATGTAAAAGAAATCTGAACATAAGCAGTGAGGCGAGCTGATTCATACCTGTGGGATTCCTTCATCAAGCAATGTCCCTGTAGAAACAGCACCATCAGCCTCTTTACTTGTGGCCTTTGATTTGAAACAACATACTTGAGCCCAAGAGAAAGAGCGTGTCTTGGTGCTTAGAGGTGTGGGTGCTGGCCGTTGCGGTGACAAAGAGATGCATTTTTCATACTCCCTGAAAACACCAACCAAACTTGGTAGTTCATAAAGTTCCATGCTTTCCAGGGTGGGGAGCATAACATTGACCTCTTGGAACTTATCAAATATATATTTCAACTTCTTGCACTTCAATATGGTTATTCTTTCCAGAGGCCATCCACCGAGAAGGATTGGCAATATTATTTCTAAATTGTCACAACTATCAATTTCAAGAATTTTAAACTTTGGAAACAGAGTGTCGTAGCTCTTTTGATCATTGTCAACATCACCACTGGCTATTTTCCCTCTTGAACTCTTATCTTCTAGAATGCATTCCAATGCATCACATCTCTCAATATTCAACTCTTCTAACTGCAAAAGACTTTGAGCAGTGGATGGGAGGAAAATTGACGTCAGCTTTGGACACTCGTTCAGTTTCAAGGTCTTCAGATGACACAGGTTATAGTGGCCATTGAATAATATATTGCTTAGTCCCATTTCAGAAAGATATAGTCCAACTAAATTGGAAAAAGCATTCTTCACATCAAGGTGATTGTTCACAGCATCAATGAGACATTGCATGTCAGGCCAAGAATCCAATTGAAGAATGATCAAGTCAGTCATGCCTCTGTTGTCTACTAGAACAATGTCAGGGACAAGATTTTTCTGTTTTGTTACTCTATACCCACTAAAGCTAAGAAGCTCAGCTGTTCTTGCAAGTTGCTCAAATGTTGCCTCAGAGATTAAATGCCTTAAATTATTTGGCTTAAAGCATCTTGATAGGGAACCACATTGCTCAAAATAATCTAAAAATTCATCCTGACCATCACAAGATATGTGATATGTCTGTAACGTATGAAAAGATGCTTTATGAGAAATTGTAGGTTCTATTTCCTCCTTATCATACTCATTACTCAAAAAAGTCAACTCCTCTAGCTTTGGGCATGCTTCAATCACTTCAAAAGGATTACTCATATTGATATCACAATTTTCTATCCTTAAGAATCTCAACTTCTCTAGCTCAAAATTTTCTTCAGGTGATTTAATAATTGAACAATTATCGAACCATAGACTCTCAAGATTTGGCAACCTTCCCAACATAGAGATGCTATTGCATAATTCAAAATTTCCTATTTGGAGAGTTCGAATATTTTGTAATGACTGAATTGACGAAAGTAGTGATGGAGCTGAAATTCGAAATTGAGCTTTACTCCATAGAAACCAAACTTTGAGCTTTTTCATCACTTTGAAGAATGTATCAGGGACTTCCAAATCCTTTGAGTTATCTAGAACCCAAAGTAAAACCTCAAGGTTTCTACCATCAAAGTGCCTTGGAAAACAATCGCTTTTCCAAAATAAACATTGCAAGCCCTCTTTAGGTGGTTTAGATTCAATGACAGATTGAACATCCTTTTCTCCTATCAATAAGGCTACTTCATGAACCAAATCATGCATCTTTACACATTCCCTCTCTGCATTCAATAATAAAGAAGAATCTAGGAGTTCCACTATAGCATCAATTACTTTTCTTCTTCTTTCATTGTAGTCATCAACTTCCCAAAAAGGGCCCATTCCTGCACCAATTCTGATTAAAAACTCCATAGGGATCTCAAAATCTTCAGGGAATAGGGAAGATATCAACAAGAGCTTTTTGGCTTTTTCATTTTTCAAATTATCATAGCTCAACTTCAAACCTTCATAGACCCCCTTTAAATCATAATCACGAACCTTAAATATTGGCTCACCGCTTTGCAAGTTCCTCAAGGCTTCCTTCCAAACTATAGAAGGTCGACCTTTTAATGATCTTGCTACAGCAACAATTACAACTGGTACTCCATGGCAGTGCTCCACAATATTTTGTGCCAAAATCTCCAAATTAGAGGAACTTCTAGTATGCTCGAGGAAAAGAGACAATGCTTCCTTCTTAGTCAATGCATCTAGATGAATGTGACTTTGGCAATCCATTTTTGTACAAATCTCATTAATCCGGGTGGTTATCAATATAGTACAACCCTTGTGTAGGTGGGGAGGAGGAATCCCCAACTCTTTTGTGGGATCAAACTCTGTCCACACATCATCTAGTACTATAAGAAGTCTTTCTTTTAATGCTTTGATTTTGGTCAATATTTTGTCATAGGGTACTTCTTCCAGTCCATTCTCTAATTTCAAATCCAAATTCCTAGCAATTTCACCTCGAAGCTTTTTGAAATCTGGAAGCTTAGAGACCACAAGAAAGATGACTTTTCCAAATGTGGATCCTTCTAACTCAGCGCCCACTTCTGTTGCCATGGAGGTTTTGCCAGTTCCTCCTAAGCCTTGCAATCCAAGCATACTGTTTTCTTCATTTTCTAGTGCCTTTTTAAGTTCTTCAAATGTTGACTTTCTACTCTCAAAATGCATGAAATTTGGTAAGCAACGGTATTTTATACCTGGAAGATCAATTGGACTTGCTACTATGTCAGAGTTACATCTATTTAGAAGTTTGTCAATATCTAGAGTCCGCTTTGCCAAGTCTTTGCCTTTCTGATATTGATGCCAGCAATTAAGACATAAGTCATTAAAGCATTTCTCTTTCTTAGTGTCAACATCAATGAGTTCTTCAGCTTTACGTGTCCATTGTAGGGCTACAGATGTGATAGCTTTGTGCCGATTTGGGCTGCCACACATTGATCTTACCATGCTTTGTTTTGTGTATGTATCTTAAAATTAGTCACTTATTTATTTTAATTGTGCAGTATTGCTTTTTCAATAATTATTTGATCCTTCAGTTATCCATCCTTACCTTATAAGTAGTAACTTATGATGTTACATTTGTCTCGTTCCCTTACCTTGAAGCAGAGAAGAACAATTGAATTACAGAACAAGTCCCTCAAACTCCTAAAACAGAACGCAATTTCATTACAATGATTCTCTGTACAACTCCTAAAATTTATGATATTTGCCTTAGTCCGAGAATTGGGGCCGAAAAATAAATTAAATATTCGTGCCTCACACACACACACACACACACACACACACACACACACATATATATAACTTCACAAATTTGCTCGTCAAATGTATTAGAATCATACGCCTCTAGGCCAGAGCCCTCTGTTTTGCAAAGCAGAGGAGGATGACACTGCTTATATACAGCTGTAGAGTCTTGTAAAATTATAATAATACTATCCATATAAAGTAAATATATAAATAAAAAAGTAAAGTATAATTTAAAAGATAAGTTTTTTTGACCAAAAAAAAGTGCTTACCAGTACTTTTTTTATAATGAAATTGTAAGAAATGATTTTTAATATGATGATGTGTTAGTTCATTTTTTCTTCTCAATGTTCCTTTCATGCATCACATAAGGTATTACATTCATATTAATATTTTGCATACAGCCAGTCATTTGAATTAGCTCACGTGGCAAAAATACAGAAGAATACGTGTTATAATGAAGGATTTAAATATATGTTCCCAAGCAATAGGCATGTAAGAGAGGAATTTAAAAAAAAAAAAAAGAGTCAACTTTAAATTTCCCGATCTTGAAACAATAGTCCTTTTCTTTTTTTAACATTTTAATAACTAGGATTAGGAATATCTTCTATTTATAATAAAAACTATTCCCTCCAATCCTATTTATATGCACTTATTAATAAATTTACCTAATTTAAATAAATTAGTTAAAATTAGTTATGTTTTTGGAAAAAAAATTAAAATTGTCTTTAATAAAAGTCATTAGTTGGAAGAATTTGTTTGATCAATTGGAAAATTTTATAATTAGTTGGGGATATTAAGTAAAAAAATTAATGCTCCAAACAAAACATGTTATATTACAAGGAAAATTGCTCATCAAGCATGGAAAGAGAGAAATTTTGTAGCCACAAACAAGGTTAAACCTGTAAATGTTTTTAAACATGGAAGACAATCAACGTTGGCCGGGAACTTGTGGAATTACATATATACAGCTACTTATGCTCCTTTATTTTTTACGTTATGTAATTGATGAGTTGGCCTCACTCGCGTATACAATGTCGTTTTCAATATCCAATCAAGAAATGGGGAAAATACAAAGGTTTAGCATTTTTGATATGATAAGCATATGAGAACGAATTCAATGATTCGTGTAACATTTTGTATTAGAAGACACAAAGAGAAAACAATTATGTACTAGAGAATGGCTGCCACTACTACAAACTTCTATCGGATACATAATCATATTTGAGAAAATAGTAAAAGAATGCCATTAGAAAAAAAATGTTTTCTGCAAACTTTTAATTAAAATAAATCCTCTCTTCACAAAATAACTTTAAAAAGGAGAATATATATATTTATGTTTGTATGTATTGATCAATTACTTCAAAGGGCAAATGCAAAACAGGGACAACGAAGAACAACCATGTGATAGAGAGTGACAGTGGCCTTTTGTGGGTGTAGGGGAGAATGAGCAAGGAATATGTATTATGTGAGTGAGATATCTCTACATCACTTGTGAATCTTGCTTTTTTTTATTATTCTACAAAAATAGATTTTGTAAACATTAATAGCTTTTTTTAACATCATTTTTCTTGAAGGAAATTTCTTTCTAAGTTCTTTTTTTTTCTGGTACTTCAACCAACATCCTAGTCGATGTAAAGGGAATCATAAAGTGATCAGATTAGCAATCACATACCAGTTGATATGTCTTTTGAATCAGACAATCACTTAGTCATTTTTGACATCTTAGGAATGGCATCCTGATAACAGAGTCATACCCTTATGCTTTGTAAAAGTTTTGTGATGTTTGATGATCACAAACTACAAAATCATTTAAACATCTTATACACTTAACATGGAAGAAATATCAATATCCAATTTTAATGGACTTGAGAGACATCCTAATATGTAGCAGTTCGAGAGCAGGGAAAATTGTCTAGCCGTCATCACATAAAGTGTCCTCATGATAGCTTCAACTGTGGAAAGCTGTTAGTGTCATTCAAGTGAAATCCACGCAGAGGGCCTTCAAAGCAGGAAGATTAAAGCACGCCACATTATGTTGATTCTCCTTTGATGACAGATCCTCATGATGGTATTTCCCCCCAATCTATCTTAGCTCATTAGCATCTTTGATAGCCCCAGACCCTAAATTTTTAATATCTATAGATATTGTGGATGGAAATAAAATTTCAAAGTTCTTGCACTCCTTGATTTCTAGTTTCTGTAACTTTGAGAAAATGTAGCAGTAGTATTCATCCATTTCAATTGCAAACCATTTTTCTTCTTGAAATAATTAACAACGTATAACTGAACGAAAATACTGAGACAATTGTAGCATACTAGTGGCTTTATATGGTCTGGCGATCTATGTTCAGAAACAAAAACATTATTCTTAACAAACAAACACCAACATCAAATTCTTTTCTGTCTACTCCCACATTAGGAGTCCATTTTTAAATACAGAGTTTACGCATGAACGGGGAGCAATCTTGTTGGGAAAGACTCAAACTTCAACTGCACCTAATTTTTATGTGTTACGTAGTCTATAGAAATACGAAGTCTTTCATATAAATAAAAAAATACAACATCCAAGCACACAAATAGTTGCTAAACTCCAAAAGGCCTATGTTTAGCAGCAATTATCTCCCAGCATTGTTGCCTTCGTGCTATAATGTCTTGACAGGTCTTCAAAAGATGACCATGCTGGGCCATGACATTGGCATGCTCTTGTTGAGCTTCTTGTACCACTCGTGCAGCTTCTACCTCTTCATCACGAGTAGCTTCAAGATTTGCCTCATTATTCTTAGGATCATTGTCTAAACCCTTTAGAACATTTTGGATGCTATCGACTTCAGATTCCTCTCTATCAAAAACTTTACCCTTTATAGACTCAATCTAATCCTGATCAAAACCCAAAGTATAAGTATCCTTCAAAGGTTCAACCAGTATCCTTTTGTCTGCCTTAGTGATTGTGAAGGGAGTATTGGTAGTTAAATTGTTCAAGATATCAAGCAATACCCTATAGGACATGTGTGACACTCGAGCGCATTGATCTTTTGTAGAGAGTTCAAGTTGTGGGCAAGTCTCGAGTGCCTTTGCAAATATTAAACGCTCAGAACCTTCCAACTTTATCGTATCAACTATTTCTGTACTCCAGGAACCGTTGAAGCTTGATTACTGGCTTCTAGAAAAGAAGGCATAATCTTTATAGGGGTAGAAAATGGTGACAGTGACAACTGTGTATCCTCAACAATATCTGATTTTGTCCCAACATGAACGGAGGTCTCAGGCTCCTCTTTCTGCAAACATCTTTTTACTTTTACGTCACTTGGATAATGTGGCAAAGTTATCAAGTCACCTGTGAAGCCAAAAATAAGTAATTGATGATATATTAAATACAAGACAAGATGCTACTCTTTTTGATTTTAGAGTTAGTTGAGGAAATTATTTTTATTTTAAATTTAAGACTCCAATCTTTTATGTGTCAAACATTTGTTAACTATATTAACCGATTAAAAGTAAGGATATTTTAGAAAACTTGGAAACTTCTTTTTTTTCTTTTTTTACAAATAGTTAACTAAATTAGCTGTTTTTAATATATGTGAATTAGTTAGTAATTTCCTACATTTAGAACTGAAGAGAGTAATATTTTACCTTCTCTTTTTTCTTCCTCTTCCTTGTGAGCTTGTACATCATGTCCTATAGTTTCTTCTCATAATTGTGGTTCCATCATTATTGTTTCTTTTTTTCTCTTTATCCCCCTGCTCATCCTGTGTGAAAAATAAATAAAAGCGAAAAGTTTGAACCATATTTAGCATGGATAAAGAATAATAATGTACAGGTAAAGGATCACAGTCTCGCCTTTAAAGATGCTTTTTTTGTGAATTAGTTCGATTTAGAACATAGGATTCTCTTCTTTGTCATTCTACAAAATAAGAGGAGTTAATATAATTTTTGGTCCTTCAAGTTTGCTCTTATTTTGGTTTTGATTCCTCAAGTTTCAAACTATAGATTTTGGTTCTTCAAATTTTATTCCATTTAAAATATTAGTTCCTATAATCTAATAAAAACTTGCACTATTTTGCTCGTTGAAGGACCAAAACATATAGTTTCAGATTTGAAGGACCAAAAATTAAAATTAGGACAAACTTAAAGAACTAAAGATTATATTAACAAAAAAAAAAAGAATCAGTTTGCATTTCGTAGTAGCTTTATTTACTTCCATTTTTAGGAAGAAATGCTGTTCTAAACTGATTTTTTATGTTTATTTTGACCAATAGCTCCGATAAATATAAAGGGAAAAGGTGGAAAAATTCCAGCTAAAAAATTTAATTACTGATAGGTCCTACTTACGTATTACTACCTTCGGTCCTTAATATAAGACCCCGTTTGACTTTTTGTTTGGTTCTAATTATAAGACCCCAATCTATTTTGTTTCTCATATTTATGCATTTTTTCTAAGATAGTCCTTCTAATAATGATAGTTCTAGCCAATACACTTAATTAGCAAGGATATTTTAGGAATGACAACACTTATTTATTACAAATAACTAACTTAACTTGCTTCCTTAATCTCCTCAAATAAGTCAACTGGATCTTATAATTAGGACCGGAGGTAGTATTATGTTGTGGTATTTACATGTCATCCGGTGATATGTTGTCATAAACCTATTAATAATTTAAAAAAGAAATATATCTCTTTACCTATTATT